ATATATGTAGAACATGTATCTAAATTCAAGTAACTTTGGACTTAAATATTGAAATTGAAATGTATATATCCTCAATGACAACAAGATAATGACAACTCAAAACATAATATTTATAAGTTGTCATAAACTAATTTGTCCACGGTAGGCGTCATTCACCAATTGTTCCACATATGATTCTTTTCATTACCTATCATAAATTTGTCCATGCTAGGCGTCATTTACCAATTGTTACATATGATAAAATGCCTATAATTCTACTTTCTTAGCTGTTTGCTTTTGTCTTAGGTTATCACCAATTTACTAGCCCATGCTAATTGTCAAAGCAATCATAACTTCTGGGAAAAAAACATCCAAGTCTAATCAAGTGCTTTTGTAATATATTTTCTCATCTTTTTCACACCTAATTAGGAGTCAAAGGTACGAGGACGCATTATTAGGTAGAGTAAATTACATGGGAGAGTGGAAAAAAAATAAAAAAAATTTACTCGGGAGAGTAGGAGACTGTTTAATGGTTCTTAATTTAATCTTTTTTAAATTCCTTGGGTGATTGAAAAATAATTTTAAAAATAAAAAATTAGTAATGTTCTTATGTTATAATGATATACTATATTATATTTTATATAAACAAATAATAAAATTATCATTTTTAAAATTTGGTCACTAGGACGGTTGAAAAGAAATGTTAGGAGTTATCATTTAGCACATGCACCAAATATATGGGTGGTCAAAACAATAAAGGATGAATGATCTTCTCTCTCAAAGAAGTTCAGTATAATTTATTCTAAATACAAAATAAAATTTATATATATGTATATAAATATATCATATATGACAACTACATGATCCTGGCTAATTTTCTTTTTTCATACCAAGAATTGCATCATGCAAAATATGAAAATAAGCAAATATCATTAAAAAATTTTTTTTTTTAAAAAATTACTAGTATCCTTTTATATTTTTGTCAATTTACTTTTCTTAAAAAATAATTGTTTTTGGATTTTCCAAGATTCTCTGTCAAATTCTATTGTTTTAGCCACCAAGTCAAGAGAGAAATAATGAAAGCTAGAATTGAGTGATGGACACACAAGAGGGGTTGGACAGTATCTAGAAGTGTTGATGAAGTGCATGAACGTACATAGAATGATCATACAAAGTGTCTCTATTGCTTTAAAGTTTGCAGTTATATATTGTTTACGCAACTGTTATTACTGTTTGTCGACAACCCAAAAAATTTGCTCTATCTTCTACACCAAATTTTATTTATTTCCATTTATTTAATTTTCAGATGCATCGAAGCAGACACCGCTAGTACTTGCTCATGTACATAATTTGACACCAAATGCATTGGAGGTTTCACTTTCACAGGAGGTTGTAGTACTACTCCTCCATTGTACTGATCATGGAAGCTACTACTGTACTGCGCGCCAATGATTTCTTCATCTACAATCCGATCGAGTGTGTGTTGTTGGTGGAAATCTATTATCTACCGTAGAATCAACATTCGACAACTATCAACATAAATCCGAGTGTTGTTGGTGGAAATCTATTATCTACCGTAGAATCCACATTTGGACAACTATCAACATAAAGATGGTGACATGCTTTGAGCTCAAATATCATCCAGCCAAGTTTTTCAATGAGATATATATATATATATATATATATATATATATAAAATTTAAGTAAGATAAGCCTAGTCGCTCAATTTTGGATAAAATTTGGTAAATTCTTCATTACAAAGCAAAATAAAGCAGAGGTACGTACATTGCTAGGTACTGTGTCCTTGTGCTTACTACATCACCTATTATATATATTTGTTCACATATTTCTATCTTATACATATTACTGATGGATGAAGCAATCTAAACTCACCCACAAAAAGTTAAAATTGATGATAGTAAATCAAACCAATCAAATTATGGTCGCTTGAGTCATTCAAAAACTACCAACTAAATACCTAAAAAAGGTAAATAACTACTAGATGAGAAAATAACTTCTTAGCTCACCAAGTTCCAACTGCATGCGTCGGGAAGTGAATAAATGGTTCATATATATATATATATATATATATATATATATGCCATTGTATTCATTCTTTGGATGTCTTAAGCCATACATAATTTATCTTTTGAAACACAAAGAAGAGCTATTTGGATAAAATAAGCTCAACTGACAAACCCCCATCAAGAATCAACCTAAGAAAGGAAAGGAACAAAAAAAAGTGTATTCACAGTGAATCATGCAGTTAAAATTGGCATGTGTTCATTAATTTTGACATTTATCTCATCTATAAATTGAATGAATGTCAAACAAGGATAATTTGGAATTATGAGAAGCTTAAATTATTACATGAACAAAAAGATCATTGAGTAGAAAATATGCTATTGATCCATTACAAACAGCTGGCACGTGACCTATTTTGGAGTCAGCAGGGGCAATTGCCCCACTGATCGAATTTTTTTTTCTTCCCAGTATTATATGCGGTTATACTTACTAATTTCTTTTTCTTTTTTTTTTTTTTTCTTTTTTTTTTTTTGTTAAATAAATTTTCTTTTTTCTTTTTTCTATTAAATACCTATAAAATTTTAAAATTACCCCCACTAAAATTATAATAAAACTCCACTATTATCCCTCACAATATTTTTTATCCTGTTATTAAACACTGTCCTTGACATAATTTTTTGAGTCTGTTCCTGTTATTAAAAGTTACAAAAACTTCCTAGTATTAACAATTTTCTATTAGAGATAAAAAAAAAAAAAAAAGAAAAAAAAAAAAAGACATTTTATTACAATACTTGTGCAACTAGAAGCTACACCGGTATGGATTCTAAAAAACTCTTTGTAAATTTGACAAGTTTTATGAAACAAAACTTCTTCTTTTTTCCCTGGAGAAAATAAAAGGCACTACACTCAATCAAAATTGTTAACAAATACCATTCAAAAATAAATTTGTTAGCAAAAAATCAAATGAAAAATAAAATCACATCATTATAAACAAGTGCAATTTTATAAGTAAATCAATATAGCCCATTTTATATGTTTGGGCCATTCTGTTAAATGAATCTAGAGTGGATGGGCCGGATGTGGGTCCCCTACAACCAACCAATCCCAAGTACCAATCCACAAGAAAAACTTAGTTGAGCCCGCTTACAACTGGAGCATCTGGACCATCCGTGTGTATTATATGGGCGGAGCGTGTTTTACACACTCGATAATGAGCGAGATGTGAGTGCAACGGGTACAACCAGGGACGGATCTAAAAATTTTTGTTATTGTATTTTATATTCCTAAGCTTGTACTTTTTTGTATTTATATCCATAAAATTTTGAAATTACCCCTACTAAAATAATCAAAATAATAAAAAAAAAACCTTTTATATAAATTTGTTCCCCTTTATATAAATTTCTAGATCCGTCCTGAGTACAACCAAGTTTTTCTCCCAATCCACACCATACACAACCCAAAAACTCTTTCCTTTTCTTCTTTTCTTTTATTTATTTTTAAAATTTTGAAAATTACACATCCATGTTTTTTTTTTTCAATGGGGATTCAAACTCAACCCTCTAACATAGAAGGTGATGAATTATCACAAAACACAGAGATTTCAACTGAAAATAGTAACGAGAAAAGACCATGATATCTTAACCTATCAAAAAATTTACTATAAAAGACCGAAAAATATGTTAACTTAGAACCACTTACCACATATAGTTTTCTTAGATTGGGATGCCCTTATTTGCAATTTATTGGAAGTTATGTGGAAAGACAATAAATATATCTCCTTTACATGTCCATTTTTAGATTTACATATAATTAGACGGACTAATTTTCCAAATCGTTCCATTCAAAATGTGAAATTGAAAAAGTGAATATGGACTATTTAAATTGAAGAAAAGTGAAGAAACATGTTTTTTTTTTTTTTTAAAGCTAAGCAAATTTATTATAAATCGAGAAAAAGTAAATACATAAAGGTGGGCCTATGGAGAGGATAAGCCCACAATAACAAACTATCTATAACAACTAGCCCAAATACATCACAGTCTAAGCCCAAGTATAAGAACCCAAAAAATCTCCAAAATCATAGCCGGCGAAACAATAGATCCATCTATACTAGCAGGAAAATAAGCCAAATATGAGTAGATCTAATCGAACAAAAACAATCACGACGTAAAAAACACCCACAAAACGAACTTAATGAAACACGCCAAGTTTATTGAATGCCATGCATGTATTACCACTCTAAATCCCATCTGCACACTTAAACCACCTATAATGTAACTTGAGAATTATGATGCATCTCATGCAAGTATATATAAAACTCAATACATGCATTTTTAATTTAATAAATCATATTTATTAACTAAATGTCAAATATTAAAAATATATAATTAAATTTTAGGGCACATAATCCCAACATATTGAGAACCGTGGATGTATACCCAGTCTAATTTTTTACAGATTGAACATTGCTAGTACTTCTTTTGGAATACCCCTCTTAGAATTTTACCCCTTTTTTTTTGTTTTTTTGTTTTTGGAGTGTTTATGCGCTCAAATTTCAGGGTGACATGTGAAGACCACTACGTGTTATTGTGTGATAAAGTGCTCTCGCTTAGAAAAGATATAATAATTGTTAATGATGCCGGCGAAATTGCGTGGCGCCTCAGCATCATTTATTAATCAAGGAGACAAGAACACGATATGCAGCTTCATTGTTTTGTTTCATTTGATTTGATTAAAAATAAAATAAAATGCTTACGGCTAATACCAAAAAGGAGCTACACACCGGCTAAGCTAGGCCTTCTTTTATTTTAGCATAAACCGCTAACATGATCATAGCTTATGCAAATTAAAACTCTTCATAAATTTATCATTAAACTATTAGCAAACAATATTTTTTAAGGGATCTTTGTACTTTTGTAAGGTTAAAAGTTCATCCGGTAATATGGTGCATTATGATACCATCACATGTCGACATGTGCTATGCTATCTTGCGCAAATCATCAAACCCTACTTTTTTTCTTTTTTTGTTGTCAATCTTACTCATAATATTTTTTATTTTCCCTTTTTTAGACTTATAAGCATTCTGTATTAATATATATGCATAAGAAAAACCATGAAATTGTGAAGTTATGAACGGCCATGGTTAGGTTGATATTTTGATCATTTCAAGAAAAAGACAAAAAAGAGGGAGAAATTGATAGTTTTGAGAGCGTAACATCATTTATGTTGTGTTGTTGATATCATACGGTTTGTTTGGGAAAAACGAAAATAACGGCTGGTCCGAAAACGTTGGTGGAGCGAAGGAGAGAGAGAAATTCATTGCGAAAAACAATGAGGGGTATAATTGGAAAATGGAGAGACTAAGGAATTCTCTGCATGGAAAATTGATTGTGTGTGTGTGTTTGTGTGTGTCGATCCACCACTTCGCTCTCTGCAAATCCACTTCCCCTCCTCCCATGGCCTTTTCTCTTCTTCTCGTTGGCAGCTGAAAAGCCTCCTCCTTCATCTCATCTCACCCACCCCATTCAGGTATATAAATTTATATATGCAATATAAATATATATATATTTATATATATTTTTTACTTTCTTGATTTGTTCTGTTTGATGATTTGAATCCTCTGATTTATGTGGTTATGATTTTCCTTTTCTTGCATGGTACTGATTGGATCCTCAAATTTATGTTTCATTTTTATTTTCTTTGTTATGTTTTTTTTCTTTTTATGATTTCAATTGACACTACTCTTTTGTGGCATTTGTTTCTTTATTTTCTATATGTTTTTTTTAACTAGTTTTGTTAGATCATCTCATGATGAACATAGTTTGATCAATGGCTTAGTTGTTTCATTTGATGGTAGAATCTTTTTATTGGCTTAAAAAAAACTAACTGGATCTAGAGGGGGGAATAATGGAGTTTCGTTATGACATTGAGGAATCATTTGAATTATATATATATATATATATATATATATATATCAATGGTTATGTGTATGTGGCTTTGAATCTGGAAATCTGGGGTTCTTAGAAAATTTGCTCACAAAACTTTAATTGATAATATTCTAATTTCTTAGAAAATTTGCTCACAAAACTTTAATTAATACTATTCTAATTTCCAAAAAGATATATATATATATATATATATATTTCCCCATTCAGTATTGTACGGTAATTACTTCGAAATGAAATCTTTAATAATTAGAATAGCTTTAAAAGAACTGCACCTGTAATGTTTAAAATCAGGGGCCTACACAATTAATTAGGTTTAATTTCTGAAAATTTTGCACCTGTAAACTGTATTTAATTGTCAAAATTGGAATTTCAACTTCTACTACTAGACCAAAGCATCATTCATTCAATATGTTGACAATCATACATATAACTATAAATTGTCTACCTCTCCAACTCTGATGTGTTGTCTTTGACATTTTTAGTATTAATTAATGATATCAAATACTCATGCCTTGATATTTTTGAGGTCATAATTGGATGGTTGCCTTTTATTTTCCCAGAACCGTCCCTCCACAACTAAGAGCAGTAAGGCTTTTTTGTACATTTAATTTTTCCCTGCGCCAGAGGGAAAGCTAGTTAAAGGAGTATCACAAGCATTTTAATTATTTGATGTTGTTGAGGTTTATTGTGGACTCTATTGCTTGGATGTTATAAAAATTGACTGATATATATATATATATATATTTCATAAATGCATCTAATTTTTCCGATTAGAGGGATAATAGTTGGAAAAAGTATCTGATGCAAGATGGTGTGAAGTCCTATTGTGCAAACTATTGATTGGATAGTGTAGAATAGCAAAAACAATAGCTGAGTTTTAAATTGTATATGAGCTCTTGTTTTTGTAACTGAATTGAAAAAAATCATGTTCATATATTTAAATGTAGTGGAGGAAGATCTGATCGATGAGACTTGTTCATCTGGAATCGAGCACTGTGAAGAGCACTTTGAATACAACATTTGAATTCTCATCACTATTGTGGTAAGCATAGGAGAATGGATGACCACGGGGGAAGCAAGGTGACTGGAATCCGACAGATTGTTAAGTTGAAGGAAATTCTCCATAAGTGGCAATCTGCCACACTTTCTCCCAAGGCAAGCAACCTCCACTCTGACCAAAATCACGGGGGCATTTCACCAGCAATTAGCAGGCGATTGATAGGCCCAAATGGATATTGTGACTCGGACGAGGATAATTGCCAGAGCCCTGAACCACCCCATGGTGTTCCCAGAGGTTACTTGGCAGTATATGTTGGGCCGGAGCTTCGGAGGTTTATTATTCCCACTAGCTATCTTACCCACCCTGTGTTCAAAGTGTTACTGGAAAAGGTTGAGGAGGAGTTTGGGTTTGATCACAGTGGTGCGCTCACAATCCCATGCGAGATTGAGACCTTCAAATACCTCCTTAAGTGCATGGAGAACCATCACAAAGATCATCCTGAAGACCACACAAGTAAGTTTTTTCTTTTTTCCGTATGCGGCGTTTCGTTAATTGAGGTTGCTAGGAGAGATGAACTAGATACAGACTTAATTCCTACATAATTTATTTCTAGTGGTGTGAACAACTTCCTAATTAAACTTAGGACATAGTGCATTCTTAAAATTCTGTAACAATTGAAAATACTCAACTCAAGTACTTGAAAATTATATGCCAATAGAAAATGTTCGAATAAAATCTCTTGCAAGGATATCAATCTAGCTATCTCTAGAACTATTTTAGTAATCCCTTTTCAAAATTGATTTTCCACACGCTGTAAATTTCTTCTCTACAACACCATTTGATCAAATGATGATCCACGGGATTAATATCCTCCAAATTACTTCACTTCATTAACTTGAAGTTCTTGGTGATTTTGCAGCTGGGTCATCATTAACCATTGAAGAGTAAGTGATTATTCAGTAAGTGAATATTCTGGATCCCAAATGGTAGGGCTAATCTTCTGGTGTAAAGCAAGGTCTCCTTGTAATGCAGAGGTTTTTTATTTTTTTATTTGGTGAATTTCTTTCTTTTTATAGAGCTTTAGTTAGAAATTTAATGATGCCAAATGTTGGAGAAGTAATTAGTGGCTCACCTTTCCTTGTCATGTTGTTTGGGGGTGGCCAACAATTGATGTTTGGTCGAACTTGAAACACATTGATTCTTATTGTCCAACAGTAATTTGTAATTCATTTGTGGTTCTGACTAAAGATTGAATGCGCATTAGTGGTTCTGTAAATGCATTCACATGAAATCATGTGTGACTGAGCTCATCAGTCGTTATTATCTGCACTCTGAACTTTGTGTTGTAGAGTTGAAAACTGGACATCATAAAAACTAGATTGATAGTGTCACTCACTACCCAATTCTTGGTGGTTGTTTGCAGTCTTAAAGCCACGGATAACTATGCTTCAGATTGATAGTGTGAGATATGAGAACCACCTTTTCTTAATGATTTGGGGACGGCTGCATGAAGTCTATATTTTCATTATGTTCTATTTAAGGGAATAGCATCGGTCAATTTATGTAATTATCCTATCTTTTCTTACTAACTCTTCCGATATTAACACTTTGGTCTTCCTCGTCTAGTATTATTCTCAATGTGAGCCAGTGTTGTTAAAGGTGCGTCTAGGCTCGAGGCACTTGTTATCATCCCAAGAGCATTGATGCTTATTAGGCGTGAGCCTCGGTTACGCTTCGTCCTGTTTGTCAAGCGTGCCTCACTAATTTTTTTTAAAAATGACTATTCTATTTCTTAAAAGCCGAAAAAGTTACTTTTGATAAATTAATAAACAAATAAGAAAGCCTAAGTATACAAGATGAACAACTTTGTTCAAAAGAATAAACAAATAAGAAAGCTTAAGAGTCAAAGTGTCAACCGAACAGAGAAAGAGTGAGACTGTGAGACGAACAACAAAGCCCTAGTTGCAGAGACAAACGACGAAGTCAGTTAGTTCTTTCTTTTTTTCTTTTTCTTTTTTTTTTTTTTTTTTTTTTGACTCTCTTTTTTCTCCTTTTCTTCTTTAACACTTTCTATCTCTTCTCGTATACTTCTCACTCTTCATCTACTTCTTCTGTCTTTGCGTTTATTATTTTATTTTTTATTTTTCCTTTTCTTTTCTTGCAATTGCTTTTTTGTTTTTGTTAACAAATTTATTTCTTTTTAAGCTCTATAATGCCTTTAAAAAAAAAAAAAAAAAATTATGTTTTGTCTTTCAAGAAAACAAATTTGTGCTCTGTTTTATGGTTGCTGGATGCCTGTATAGTTGATGGATTTATTTTTTTTATATTTGATAATGAGATATGTATATTTTTAGCATTTTGGTGCGCCTTGAGCCTTTAATAACACTGATGTGAACTATGTCATTTTTCCTAATCAACGTGCTTAAATGTTTTCAAAACACATGTCTAAATCATCTTAACAAATTTTTTTTCTCATTTTATATCCAATTGGTGTTACTCCAACCATCTTTCGAATGTGAGATAAACGTCGGAGACATTTAGAATTAAGTACTGAATTGAGTAATCAAACAATATCAAGTCTTTCTTTTCTTAGTAGACTCGATAAAGCACCCATAATTAGAGGTAGCAAAATTACCAACACGCTTGATGTTAAGAAAAGATCCCTTGCGGGAAGGTAGGCTAGAGATTTCTTGTAAAAACACTATCCTTGCTCAGTTCATAATCATAATATTTTCATCTTTTTTGAATCCAGGCGTTATTCTCATTATGCACGTTAAGGGAGGAGCAGTATGAGATGAAAATCTCACGTGAGTTACTATTTAGATAATTGGATTCACCTTAATCTTATTTTTGTCATAAACATATTAATATGTTTAATCTGTTAAATTAATTCTACCACTCGTTTAATTAATAATCATAGCAGTACAATTATAATATTATGAATCTTTTTGTTCATACTATATGTTTAATAAATAAAGTCATGTTCATTTCAAAAGTTCTAATTATACTATAGATCACATCATAGAGGGTATTACTGTATAGTTTAGTTAGCAGAACGTCCTTTTTTTCATAAAAGATGTGCTCATATTCGAGTCTCCCTTCCCTCTAATTTGCTAAATAAAAAAATAAAATAAAATCACATTATAGATGGCCGAGAAAGTATTTGTCTGTATTTCCTATCGACCTTAAAATAGCACTGCATTTTTCAACGGAAAATAGTCAGAGTGTGGTCATCAAGATTTAAAAAAATTAGTCAAGAGAGAGTGATACGTCCTTCCAACCAAGCAAACCCTAAAAAGGCGTAAACCACTAGTGCAATGCATTACTAGAAGGGTGTACATAAAATAAAATATAAAGAAAAGATAAAATATTCACTTCTTTTTTTTGTTGGAAATTAAAGGAAAGTTCACTTAACAGATTAAACATATTAGCGTGAATAAAGTTCACTTCTTTTTTTGTTGGAAATTAAAGGAAAGGGATGTAGTTCATTGAATAGGTTTTTTTTTTTTTTTTTTTCGGTTGTTTGAGAGTGTAGGTTTTTTTTATTCCTTTTAAATACTTTTTTTTTTTTAAGTTAAAATTCCTTTTAAATACATCAATGATAAGATAGGCGGTGATTAACTTTACTATTCAATTTCTTGTGGGAAAGTTTTAAATTATATAACTTCCAAAGAAAAAAAAGTTTTAAATTGTCTGTTGCTGCAGATCTCTCTCTATCTCTCAACGTGGGCGTGTTTCCAAGTTTACAAACATGATTCTGTTCTAAACGAATTATGCTGACGAGAACAGCTACAGTTTAGAGTTTTAAATAACGATGGTGAATCATATTAATTTATGGTCCACAATGACTGTTACATCAATCACATGTAATTTCCTAAACCATATTAAATCATCATTATCAAGACTCAATTGCAAGTGGACAAAATATGTATGATTTACCTGTCAGAAATATATACAGTCTATTTTAATAATTTGCAACATTAATCTTGCATTTCCAGAGGTGATGTGGCGTTAACCAAGAGACTTTCCCTACAAACCATCAAATCCAAATACCAAACTCATCTCTACTTAAATTTATCTGAAAAAATTACAGTGACCTTCTCTGAGATTTCATCAATATATATCGATTTTTCTTTTTGTTCGTCAAATTACACCAACCTCCCTTGTTATAGTTGTCAAGTGAATGGTGTTTACTATTTAAGTGAAATTACATATATGTCCTCATTATATTTATTGTATTTTATTTATGAAAGGATGAACATTGAAAAGATAAAATTATCCATATGTCAAAGCGAAACAATTTGAAAAGAGATATATATATATATATATAAATATATATATATATATATTTGTTTGATGAGAAACAATTTGAGAGGAGAGAGAGAGAGAGGATATATTTATTTGATTTGGTGTATATATATTTGGGTTTGATTGGTGACAACAATGAGGGTATAGGAAGGCAATCCAAATAGGATAAAAGAGAGAACAAATGGGTATGGCAGAAATCCATATTTGGTGTTGAAACTCAAACACGCCAAATAATCAATTGGATTATTTATAATTGGAGATTTGGTTGTAGTAAATCCTCTCCACCTTCCATTTATAATTAATCTAATTGCATTTGGTTACAAACGAAGTCCAAAACCAAGACACTTAGAAAATTTATTTTCCTATGGCGTTGATATTGGATGATTCTTATATTCCACTCTACATAATAAGGAATACATGAAGAATGAAGTAACTCTATAGTGAGTTTAAAAGAGAGAAGAAAAAAAAAAAAAAAAAAAAAGGCAATTGTTATTATGTAGAGTGGAGTACAAGAATTATCCAATGAAAATTACTCAGCGGAGAGAGGTTTTTCTTTTTGAAAGGTTGAGTGAGAGAGCTTGTACAAGTGGCTCTCATGGATTCTAGTATATTGCAGAGAGCCCAAAAGGCTCCAATGTAATGGCAACCATGGAGGGTTTTTAAGTAATTTTACTTGTAAGGTCAAATTTATTTTCATAATAACTAAAAGGGTACTTTAGTAACTTTAAACTTACATCAGCAATTACTAATATTGACTGGGCATTGACCTTTAACGTCAGGTAATGGAGGGATAGTTTCTGTTATGAAAATTTAAACTTAAAGGAAGATTAATGTAATTTGTCAGGAGATCAGTGTAACTTGACTGAACCTCAAGGGAGAAAAGGGTTCCCCGGGCAAACTACTGTCATTAATGGAGGGATAGTTTCTGTTATGAAAATTTAAACTTAAAAGAAGGTTAGTGTAATTTGTCAAACAAGAGGAGAGGTCAGTGTAACTTGACTGAACCTCAAGGGAGGTCAACATAATTTACCCAATTTATTTTCATTTTTATTTAGGCCCACAAATAAAAATTTCTCTACTTCAATTTATTCGTTTCACAATTTCAATTTTTCAGTCTGTCAGGTTGGCCCATCAATCCAAGGCTTTTAAGGACGTATATTGTTTCGGTTTAGCATCATAAAAAGTCTTGAAAATTAATTTATACTGTATTTGTTGTGACAAGTAGCAAGGCATTTTTTTTTTTTTTTTTCCTTTTTTATCAAGATTTGAAATATTGACTTTCTAAATTTCAGTACTATCGACAGATTTGATAATTTGAAAAGGCAAATATATTTAAATATATATGTGATATTAAAATAAATATAGCATTGATTTTAAAAAATAATAAAATAAAATTTGTTGACTTAAATCAATTATAAAATTAGACATTTGAAAATTAAAGGTGGGAGTTCCATTTACAATTATGTAGGCGTCATAGCAGCATATTAATTATCCCCATCAATAAAGCCGGTCCTTCCGTTCGTTTCCTTTTGACCTTCCTTAATTTCTTCGCTCTTAACCATTTTATACTCTCTCTCCCACACTCACAGTGAGATGTCATTTTTTCAATTGAACGTGAAGGAGAAATGACATCTAAGTGAAAAAATATATATAAAAAAATTCCTTATTGGCATGAATAAATCTATCATTAGTATTATTTTCTAGAAAGTGATTGTTTTTAATTTCAACTAATTTGTTAAAATGAACTTTTATCAGTGACGTTAATAATGTAATCACAACTTCTACTATACAACCAAATATGCATGTGCATCTGTGTGATTAGAGATCGATAAATCATTTTGTTATCAACATTATAAAAATCATTTCATGCCTAAAAACTACAAAACCATAGTCCACAAAGAGCCAAGTCCTTCACATGAAC